CTTGGAACTAACACGCGCCCCTGGTGTTTGCATGCAGTCATTGCATTCAGCAGATCCTGGAGGCTGTGCTACACTGCCATCAGATGGGCGTGGTCCATCGCGACCTCAAGGTGAGTGCTGCTGCCCCGACCAGCCCTCCCCAGCCGGAGCCTCCGCCCGCCCCCGCCCCGGCGGCGGGAGAAGCAAACCCTAGCGACACAGAGCCCTGATCAGTGGAAGTGTAAATGGGTTTTTTTTGTTGTTGTTTTTTTTTAAATCTTTGCTTCACCCATGCACAAGAACGAACCGCTAGCATTCACTGGAGAAAATCTGCTAAAGGCTTGCCAATGCCTGGCTGTCGAGATCTGGGCTGTGGATGCTGGCACCTGTTGTCAGTACCAGGGAGAACAGTAGCTGCTTTTCAAGCATTAGGTGTATTCGCTAAATACACGATCTTCCAGAGCTGTTGGGGCAGGGTGAACTCAGGGGAACGTTAAGTTTCCCATCAGCATAACTTGGAGTGCTTCTGAGAAGCACACTAGCGTTTGCACGTCACACATTTTAGTGACGAAAGGCCAGCTGCTATGTGACTGCTGGCACAAAGATCTCTCTCTACTCCAGATGGCTGGGCTACAGACATCTTTAGGAAGGGGGAATTTCTACAGTGTTCTCACCATGATCACCTGAGGATTCAAGTTCCTTCCAGACAAACAGTAGCTTTGGATAGAAGCTTCAGAAAGAAACCTCCTCTGTTGAGAAGAGTGTTACCTCTTTCTTAACCGTGTACATATCCAAATGACCAGAGACGACTGCTGCAGAAATACTCCTGATGTTTAAAGCGTGTTGGCATTGCAAGAAACACGTGAAGTTCATTTTGTTTTACTGGGAAGCTCAGAGAGACAAGTCTGTCTGCTAAGGCTGGTAGTAAACCAGCCACAGTAAAGTGTGGATAAGAGAGAGGACTTAATTTGGGCACTTGGGCTTCAAGATCGTCAAGTAAAAGAAGATTGTTTATTTTGAAATCAAATGGAAGTGCACTGTCTGAAATACCAGATTCTTTACAAAGGCAGAGAAAAAAAATGGTATGTTGGCTAAGGCAGTGAAACACGCTAATTCCTTCTGGCACAGCTTCTCTGTCTTTTATTTTCCTTTCTGAGTGAGTTACGGGGAGCAGGAATTTCCACCCAGGATAGGAGTTTTGTAGTGGTTATCATTAGTAATAATGTTGGAATCAGAAGGCCATAATCTTCCTTGCCATCCCTCACTCCCAAATAAACAACTGTTCTTGGCTGAATTTATAAAGTTTCTGTTGTTGTCCTATACGAGCATAAAGGGTGATGCTCTGAAAACTCAGAGAGCTTGATGGATTTCAAAGACACAGACACAGAATTCTCTACCCATGCTGCACTTCTGGATTTTCCCATCTCACGGCTGTACAACATGAGACTGACAAGTCTCTATCCGGTTTATAAATCTTGCATGGCAGCCGGATAACATGGAACAAGTTTAAATCAAAGGATGTCAAATTTGCCCAGCTGCTCCAGTGATTTCTGTCTTCACCATACATGAAGTACCATGCTTCTAGCATGAAAAACATTAAAAAAAAAAAAAAAAGAAAAGGATTGTAACCATGCAAGCTGACAGAATAAGGAATGCTTTCTAGTACTTTTCATACATTCACACAAAATAACTTTTTCTTTGGAATTGCATTAAAAACAGCTGTTTCCTGCTCCAAACCATGTGTGGATTTGTTACTCTGGCAAATCCAAGATGAACTGGAAAAACAGTGTGAGAAAAAAAATGTTTCTGCCAAGCTGTAGTGCCCAGTGTTGTTTCTGTAAGTGAAAACTTCAGGAAATAGAAAACCACCCTTCTTCAGTTACTGCTTTGTGGCAAAAGAAAAAAAAAAAAAGTGAAATGAAAGCCTGGTGAAATCCCAGCAGAACTCTGTACTGAAAAGAAGATGTCGAGGCCCAAGACCAGAACTACAAGACATGTAGAAGACGGTTATAGCCTGGCATGGATCTTTAAACTGCAAAACTCAGTGGATTTTTTTTTTTTCCATCCCCATAACTCAGACCACAATTTAATGGCATGTTTAGGGGTGAGGAGGAGATTTTGGACACTCATTTTGTTTAACTTCCCTTCTAGATAATTTAGTAGCAAACGGAGAGGAGCTTTTGCAGCCTCTTACGACTTGCAGAAGTGCTTGTTGCTGCTCTGTTTGTAATCCTTGGTATAAGTCAGGACGGTGGTGGATCCTAGATCTAGGAAAAGCTAACCCTTTAGTGGCACTCTGTCTTTAAGAGATGGTGGAAATGCACTTTCATGTAGGAATTTCAGTTCTTGGCAGTCAGCAGCATGGCTGCTTCTGTGAAAGTCTGTTATTATGACCCTCTTGCATTTCCCACTGAAGTTAAATAAAAACAAAAAAAAAAAAAAGGAAAAAAGCCGGTGCTCTAGTTATATTCAAGGAAGAATACACAGAAGCATAAGTACTTGATCTCTAAGAATTAAGGACCTTTGGAAAAATAAGGCATACATCATGTTGATTTATTTTTAAGTAATTTTAGTAGCTAACACTGCCATTCTACATGCTTCACTGCAGCCAGTCTACGGTAACACAAGGTGACACTATTGAATCCAAAGTAGGAGTCCTGAGCGGCCCGAGCTGGCTGTTAATGTTTTCCAAGTAACTGAGTGATGCTACGTTCATGCATGATAATTATCTAGTATGCTTCTCGTCATCCTGAAGTGACAGCTGCATGTTGTTTCCCCGCATAGTCCCACACAGCATTGCCCAAAAGGCTGTTGCCTTTGGCATAGGAGTCCATCAGGAAATTGGCTTCAGCTTCTGTTGAAACATATTGGCCCATGATAGCGGTGTTTCTGCAGAGCACCTTGATTGGCAGAGTAAAGACACATAATGGAATTTAAAAAAATCCCATGGGGGGACCACAACCAAAAATAAACAGCAGCAGAAGACACAAAACTACGATTTTGAATAGAATTGTGTTTTAAAGTCATATGCACTTAGTAGATCGGTGCTTGTGTTTCAGCCAGGAGGGTGAGGTGTTTCCCTGCTTTGGGATTGCTGAGGGTCGCAACCAAACAGGATCATCCATTGCTTTATAAGAGGTTTATACGAAAAGTACATTCCAGGAAGTAATTACTGTAAACTTCTCTCACTCTGATAGGAAACCTTCAAGAACTGTGTGATTATATGTTGAAATTAGTGTAGTTAAATGACAAGTCATGTGACATCGCTTAAATCAGTGTTGATGAACCTGGAGAACAATCCTTAGCTATTCAGTGTTTGAGATAATGTAGTTGCAGTGGTTACTGATAATTTAAGTGAATATAAAAGTTGTATTTTATTTTGAGAGACCTTAATCTAATTTTTTTTAAATGTGGAAATATAAGATAAATAACTATTGATGAAAGGTTTTTAATACTGTCTTTTCTATGACATAGCAACAAAAGGATGAGTGAGAGAACGGTGTTTGTAATTGGCTGAAAAAAATGTTCATTTACAGTTTCTGAGAGGTGGAAAAAAAACACCTTTAGACTGAAGAGTTTCTCAGGGCAAGTTGTGTTGTTAATTAATAGAAATAACACGGTGGTTGAGGTGTTAGGCTGAAGCATATTTTGTTGGATACTTGACAGATGTGTTAAAGATGGCCTTTGCTGAAAGAAGTTTATTATCTTAATTGTTTCCAAGCTTGGTACCTGCATGGGATTAACTGTAATCACATACATAGTCCCTTGGAAACCTATATGATTGCTGCTGGGCTTAAAATGAAACATGCATTTAAGAGTTTGCAGGATTGGCTCCCCAGTGCTAGACTAGATATATCAAATTCTTGTGTGATAGATTACAAAAATTGCTTCTGGAAGAGTCACAGCAATAGCCTTGAAACTGAGGTTTTGTTATTATGTAGATGTAAATAATGGAGATAAAAATGAAATAAATGGCAAGAAAATACTATAGAGGTCATGCTTCTCTGAAGTAATCTGTTTAATTCTCCAGTATTTTGTAAAAAAAAAAAAAAGTTAAGGTTCATAGAATAAAGTTATTGTTGGGCAGTTCACATTTGCTAAATGAAATTAATGGATACATTATGAACAGTAAAATGAACACCATTGTTAGCATTTAAATCCTCTGTTTTTAACTGAGTGTACTGTAGCATTTGATTTCAGATGTGACCCACATACCCTGAAAAAAGTAAAGTGGGAAGTTTTGCAGACTTACATTGTTATTTCTTATAGGTTCTCTGCAAGCACAAACGAGGGCATGCTGGTTTTGATGAAGGATTTGTAATGTAAATACACCTGCCCTCTAAATACGAATATAGTAGTATGGCTGTTATTGTTAAGCCATCATGCAAAATATATTTGTTTAACAGTTACAGATGACTAATCCTGCAAACTTCCTAGGTTATACTAGTAATCAAAGAATTTGGGGGTCTTTTATGGGTTTTCTGCAGCATTTTTCCAGTAGGGAACTCTGAGGAGTCTCTGAATTGTCCTGTCACACAAACAGGTGTCACAGTTCCATGTGACCGTTCTGGCCAAACCCCTGCTCTAGTGGATCTGCACGCTGCCCTTGGTCTTGCTGTCATGGGATTCTGAAGGCTGTTTAGGGGCCTGGTGGTTCTTTCCAAGTAGGGATGGAAAGTGCAGTTTTTGCAGTTTCATGGAGAAAACGCATGGTTTTTTTTCTTTTTCACTCCAAGTATTTGTTCTTTTCCAGACTACCTTAAATTAAAAAAAAAATGAAAACCTGTCTAAAATATATTTACTTATCTTTTCATCTCAATTTTTTTTCTCTCTCTAAATAAAGCCTGAGAACTTACTTTTAGCTAGCAAATCCAAGGGAGCGGCAGTAAAACTGGCGGACTTTGGATTGGCTATAGAAGTCCAAGGAGAACAACAGGCTTGGTTTGGTAAGTAAATATTTTTTTTATTTCTCTCACCATTTATTCAGAGTTGCTGTTAAGCCTCCCAAACACCCAGCTCTCACCCTAGTGTAAAACAGGCAGCTATGTGACTGCTTGATAGGAAGCTTTAAGTGGTATGTTGTTCATAGTTCACTCTCTACAGCTGACTACACTTTAGACCTTTTTTTCTGTGAAGAATGTTATGTGTAATTCTCACCAAATGAAGCAGAGCTTATTTGTTTAAAAAAATAAACAAACAAACAAAACAACAAACCAACCAAAAATCCCCCAGTACTTCAAAAGTGAGCTGTGGCTGCATTTCCAGATCGCAGAGCTCTCTTAGACAAGAAGAGGCTCTGCCTTGTAACTTCCTCTTCACTAGCAAAGCTAAATCACCTTACCAGACATCATAAAATAAATGGGCAAAAATTTATTCTTTTAGCACAACTGTGTTCATATTGGGGGTTTTGCCAGTATAGCAGTACTGGTATGGGGTGGGACGGAGGGAGAAGGTCTTTAAATTCATGCTTCTGGTAAGTACAGCTTTACACATGCTCCTGTTGCATGTAGTCTAAGTGTCATTGACATTTCTTGACCCTGAAACTTAGGTTTCCTGATTCCTGGCTTGTCCTAGCTTTTGTTAACCTGTGAGTTTGACTGAGACATAGGTGCACACAAGCCCTTTCTCTCCGGCTTTCCCTGTGTATCTACAGGAAGCAAAGATGAGTGTAGAGCCTGGGAGGGCGATGGGTGGTTTCCAGCCAGGTACTCGGGTGACTGAGGAGTAAGACTGTAGGTTAATACCGCTGAGTGTACCTGTGCAGTCCTCAAAAGACTTTGGACAATTGTGTGTCAACTGGAAGTACTGATAATTTTTTTCTGAAGAACGTTGGAAAGTGACTTGCATGAAAAGAGACACAGGGGTTTGAGTATCTGAGACTGTAGACAATCATCCACATCCAGGTCTTGCCGTGGCAGTGCAAGTTATCTGTCCCAGGTGTTTACATTGCTGTCCTAGAGATGACTGCTCCTTCACACCTGCAGGTAAAACTGTTCATAAAACTGTTCTTTGACCTACTGAGGTCAAAATAAGCTCGTTTATTAAAAATGTACAATTGTTAATATATAAGCAACTCAAGGAGTAGATCATGGAGAACATAAACCCAGGAAGGTGAAGGGTGGTTAAAAGCATCTGAAACCTTGCACAGCAGTCTGGAAAGGGTTGTCAATCCACAGCTTACAAACACCTTCTGAAGTTGGGACTGGAGTTTCTCAGCCACTTCAGTGATTTTGGAAATATTATCTTCATCTGGAAGGAATCAAGAGTATGCTTGCTTGATGGGGAAGGTGACAAAAATGTATTGGAATGTGGAAGCAAACCCCATGTGTGTGTGTGACCACCAGGACAGAGCATATTCTGTGCTTCAGACCCACTCATGAGGTGTTGGAAAGGGGAGGGTGTCTGCCCTCCTGAAGCTATTACATGATGGTGTAAACCAGATCTACAGAATTGATACCTGGAATGTATCCAAGTGTCCTCTGCAATGCTCTGCTTCAGGTTATGAGAAAAGGATGGGGGATAGTGAGTTAAATATTATACACTTCTCTCCAATTCCACTAAACTAGTCCTTTTTGTTGTTGTTATTTTTAAAAATGCTAATTGCAGACTGTTTGTTACAGTTAACAGATTTCCAAAAGAAAATGGTGAAAAAAGTCTTAATAATGGTAATTTTAAAATAATAGGATGTGTTTATCCTTCCTACCACCCTCTTTGAGTAGATGTGAGGCACAGGACAAAAGTAACTGTAAATCCCAGGAGGAAAAAAATACATAAAAATATATCTATAGCGGATACCTCTTCTCCCTTACAGCATCTAGAAAGCGCAGTTTAAAATAGAACAAAGTCATTATGAGGTTGCTGTCAAAGTTTAGAATAAAAGCACAAAGGATTTTGTGCAGGCAGTGGTTGAGAGATTGAGTGTTTGAAATCTAGGATATAACGGCAGGTGGATGCACAGGCAGTACCGTTGGACATATGTTGGTAGCTTTCTAAGCTAGCCTGTTGTTTTAAATCCTGGTCTTTATATAAATGGATTTCAGTAATCCACAAAAGACAGAGGAGATTGCTCTTGCACATTAACAAATAGACCAGTACAAAAGAAGTGGAACAGAAATAAGACAAAACACAAGTGATTTGTTATTATAATGACAAAAACGTCAGGTAAACAGGAAGCATCTCAATAAAAAAATCATCTGAATGAACTTGACTTCAGGGATATTTTCTCTAGATGATACATCTGTATGGATACAGATGATGCACGTGAGGTTGCAATTGCCTGTAGATCTTGCACTTTATTTTTTGGTCATTTGGTTCTTGTGAAGTGCTTGGTTTAGACTCATAACATAATGAAGGCTGCCATGCTGAACCTGGTAGAAAGGAGAGTGAACAGAATATCTTTAAAATATATATGTAAGGGAGAGGTAAGTTGGCAGCAACATAGGAGAAAGTAAGTCTAATGTCTCTCTTTTTTAAAAAATTTATGATATTTGATAAGACTAGTGGGTTCTGTACCTTTTCTGGAACTTCCTCTGCAAAACCTTTCAGTAATGGTCTGAGTGCTTTCCTCCATCTCCTTATTAGTGCTTTAACAAGGGAGAAAGAACCTGCACTCTGATGCACTCAATGTTTTGAACTTCTTTCTTCCTGAAGATTTTTCTGCTTTCCACTGGATTCTTCAGCACTTAGTGACTCATGACATGCTCTGACTCTAATTATAGCTCTACATCAGTATGGTTTTATTTTTCTTTTTTCTTTTTTTTTTCTTTTTTATTTTTTTGTAGTTCTCTGATGTGATGGTCGCTTTTCTGCTTAAACCATGGCTATACTTCATCAGGAAACTGGCTAGAGCTCTGTGTGTTTGGGTACAACAGGATACTTTCCTGGTTTGCATGTTTGTAAAACAAACCAGTTGCTTGCCTGTTTGTAGAAAGTGTTAAGGGGGTTTAGCTGAAACACGCCACCCTGCTAGCAGGTGTTTGGTGTACTGGGAAAGTGTCAGGCAGGCTCCACTGACTCACCAGGGCAGGTGACTCACTGCCCCTTGCTGAAGTCAGTGGAAGGGCTGCAGTTAACTCCCTGGTAGCTAGATTTAGTCCTAGTTGCATCTCATCTTAAATTAAATCCAGCCCTGCAGCTAGGACTAAAATATGCACCACTGAAGTCATTTGAGTAGCTCCACTGAAGTAGTTTGCTAGTTGCATTAAATTTAGGTTGTGTACAGTTAGTCTTCTGGATCCAGCTGTGCAGGAAGAGAAGGCGCCTGCCTTATGCTTACTCTCAGCTGCTTGCTTTAGCCCCTGGCTGCCACCTTTTTCTGTATCTTCTGACCAGACAGCTCGTTTGAATTTTTATTCTTGAGTCAAAGGGAGGTATGTTAGTGAAAATGTACAATTTGCACTGTTTAAACTGCCATGGTTTATTCTGCTGTTTTATTTTGCCATCTTTGCATGGGTGGTTCTGAGAGGCCATAAGTCTATCAGGGGGCTGATGAAAGCACAGGGCAGATCTTAGCACAGATCTCTTCTGCTGCGTGCTTAAGATACATCTCTCTGCGTTAATTTATGTTGGGGGATTACAGTTAACCTTCAATCCAGGTTTGACTCAAGAGACATGCTCACCATTTATGAAGTTAAGTATATATGTAATCTTTGCATAAGAGGGTTTTGAGACTGTAAGCTATTTAGGCTGAGTAACATGTCATCTTGTGTACCCATGCACCACTGAACTCAGCAAAGCAAGGCATTTGTCTTGGGCCTCTGGATACTTATTTAAATCATATGATGATAGGAGTACAAGCTGATGCAGTCTTTTCTAGACACTGTACAGTCGCAGTTTCCAGCTTTGTGAGTTGTTTTAGCTAAAGTAATTACTACTATTAGCAATAGTATTCTAAAACGTGCACGCTTATATTTATATGGCGATCCCTCTGACCGGTTATAGAATTACCTGATAAATAAGTTAACAGTTTCAGTACATTTTTGCTTTTGTGACTATGCTTGCTGCTTTAAACAACTTCAGAGTATGTACTAAAACCATACCAGTGGTTCCTGTGTAGACCCATTCTGTATCCTCATCAAGAGATAAAGTTAGCTAAGTACGCTATTTATTTTTGCTTTAAAGTTTATTTTCAAGTGATGCATAGTAATGTTTATGGAGCTATGGTAAGTTTGAAAGTCAAGACAACTTTCCTTCCTCTTTAAAATGAATAAAATATTCATGTAGACCACTACAGCCGAGAAAAGATATAAAACATCATTCTATTTAAAACTACTTAGAACATCTATTTTTCAGCTTCTCAAAGCAGCTTAAGATATGTTTCCTGTATGATAGTACTCTTCAACAATTCATGGCTCTCATATCAGGAGACTGCAAAAAACAAGCTTATTTTTCATTAAAATATTTTAGCTATATATTCTCAGTAAAATATACAGAATGTGTTCCTTCATTTCCTCCTCTCACCCTAAAATGATTGCCAGCTGCAGAGCAAAGGCTTCCTTTTTCTGTAGCTGTACACTTAATACGTTATCACTGTCTCTTATAAGTTTTGTGGAATCCAGTGTGGTATTTCAGAAATGACATGTGGTCCTTCATGAAAGCTGCCAAATTTTCACCTTTCAAGAATTCTGTAGCATTTGTTTTAGAAAAAGATGCTTGAAAGAACAGACATACTAGCTGAAATGGCACAGGATGTTATTGGTTATTTTTTATCAACTACAGTGTCCTAAGAAAAGTCTACATTTATACCTACATTTTGCATTCCTCTTACGAGAAAGTAGCACTGCTGGTAATGAATAAAGAATGAACATATGAATTTTAAAGGCTAGATTACTTCAGAGATGCTTTTTGTGAACTTCTGTAAGGAGATTTCCAGAAGTAGAATGACTTCAAGGAAGTGAGTTTTGCAGTGGAAAGATCATATTGGAAGTAGCTGTGCAAAATACGAAGAGCAAAGGCTGTAAGAAAGCTGAGTCCTGAGTTGATGGTCTTCATATGAAGGAACAGCCAGTTGTGCTCTTGTGAAAGCTGATCCTGAACATCTCTGAACATTTAATTTGCCACCATCTGGCACTGCAGAATTGAGTTTCCACTTCTGTGCAAAGAATTTTGAACAGTGCTTTTACTTTTTTTTTTTTCCCCAAATGAGAGATCTCACAATGTGTGAGCTTTTATTAAATCTAGCTCAATGTGCTGTTTACTCAGAAATTTGACCTCCCATAAGACTCAATAGGGGTCTTTAAATGCTCCTTATAGTTAAGGTACTGTAGCTTAGCTGCCCCTCTGTTTTGTTAATTAGTTCCCATAAATGTCAGCAGAAATACTCTGTGTGTGGTAACAGTCTTCACAGCTAACAGCTGATGGACTCCCAGAAATCCCATGCAAGTCATGTTTACAGTCTTAATTTTTATAGTTTGTGGCTATTTTAAAATAGACTAAATTAGGCTAATGATTTAAAAACCCCACAGTTTACAGTCTTTGGCATTCATGTTGTGCATTTTCTGGCTTTCAGTTAGTATCTCCAAGGGGATCACCCAGATAATGTTTCCCACACTCCCTCTAGTCTGCTAACTTTTTTGACCTTGACCCAGAGCCAAATGTATTTGCACCTCACTACTGGCTGTCTCGCTATACCTTACAGTCATGAATGAAATTTCATCAGCTGTCTTGTAATCTTTCTGGAAACCTTCCACTGTTGCTCTGTCGCCAGATCCTTGACACCACTGTTGAATCTGGAGTGCTAGCGTTGATGGGTAATGAGCTGGTTTTTTGCTGTCCTCTGAGCCTACTGGACATGATGGCAGGAAGGAATGTGTCAAGTCTGCATGAGCCTTCCCATTATTGTTACTTCTAGATGATTCACCGTAAAAAGCAAACTTCAAAATGAAGTCGTTAGTGATCGATGGCTTGGGAAGTAATGTCCTGTGTCTTACGGGCTGAGATGGGAATCACTTGATTTTTATGGAGCATGTACAGCTTTTGAGAATGCTTGCCTTGCCTTTTGACAGGCTTTGCTGGTACTCCAGGATACCTTTCTCCAGAAGTGTTACGAAAAGATCCTTATGGAAAGCCTGTGGATATGTGGGCATGTGGTAAGAAATTATTCTGAAAAATGATGTTTAGTCCATCATAAAGTATTTTGAGGGAGAGAGATGATATCCAGAATACATTATATTCTGCATCAGATAATATGCATTTAGTAAAATTCAGTATTAATTTTTAGAAGAGATCATTGGAGATTTGTTATTTTACCAGCTTCATGTTATTATTGTTGTTGTTGTTATTAGTGAAGGTGTGTTACTATGGCATTCTTGGCCATGTCTGCACAGCACACTTTCACAATGTATTAAAAAGCAGCTGCAGGCGCATGATGCCTAACTTTGAGCTGGACCTTAGTTTTGGTTCACAGCAGCTTAAAATCTAATCTGACCGATATAACAGAACTGCAGTTTTAAACTGTGAAACTAAATGTTTTGTGAACTGGAGTACAGAGCAATTGCTTCGTCATCCAGTTCCTGAAACAGTGTAGTTTATGCTATTGGCAAGTGACAGCTACCTACCTGAGACCAATGGTGGTTTCCTGATTTTACTTGTACCCACGCTGATTTGGTTGTATTCATGAAAACACTTTAGTCATAGTGAATCATCTCTGTTAAATTAGCAGATGGACTTTTAAATTTCCTGTTGACCATATATTTATACAGATAAATGGAGTTGCCCAGGTTTATTTTTTTGCATGAGATTAGTTAAAACACAAGCTTACAGACACCAGTACAAGCCAAGATAAAACCAGAGGTAAAAAAATACGTTTTCCTAGAACATCCATGATCATTTAAAAAGTAGAAATTATTTCTCCAGCTAGCTAGACATATTCAGTATTCCTGATCTGATGATGTGCCAGATACTCATTCTTGCCCGCATGCTGCATAGGAGGTTATCTCATGAACCCTACATTCACTATTTTCTGCAGTATGAATAGGCAGTGCTTTTCAGTAGCTGGGGTAATACTGTTGAGCCATTTGTTTTACATGGTTGTCAGATGTGAAATGAATTCCTGGTGGTTTTTTTCTTGAAATCACTTAATGCTCCTGTGAATTTTCTGCAGGTGTCATTCTGTATATCCTCCTGGTGGGATATCCTCCTTTCTGGGATGAAGACCAGCACAGGCTTTACCAGCAGATCAAGGCTGGTGCTTACGATGTATGTGCCATACTCAGTCTATTCACTTAGTTACAATTATACCTCTAAATAGTTTTCTGGAGTGAAAGGTGAAATTATAATTATTTCCTAAATTTTTTTTTGTATTGGTTCTCTTTATGAGCAACTCAATATAGTAAATGCCACTTTAGTAATATGAACTTTATTAGGATGGGAACATCCTACGCTAATTTGAATCTAATTTCCCTACGGCTCTGATCTTTCATTGTCTTGTCCTTGTGTAAATCATTCAAGCTCATGTTATCCTGATAAGCCTGTTCAGACCTCTGTGAACTCCCAAGGGCCTGTGTTTTTCCTTGTGGTTTGTCACTTCAACCAATTCAGTTATTCTAAGTTGTTTTAAGATGTCTTAAGCTTCCTAAATATATATATACCGTGATACTGTTGTATTGGCCACCTTGGGAAATACAACCTGCTTATAGAGCTTTTCAAAAGGAATAGTTTCATTAACCATGTGTATTCCAAAAAAGCATTATGACCGTTGGTAAGAACTGATTATTTCGTGACTATGAATTTTGCAACATCATCCATTTATTTATATTAAATTAAACAGACAGAAGGCTGTTGGTGCCCAAATTTAAGTAACTTTTGAATGATGAAGAGACTGAACTTTTGAATGTCTGAAAAGACAGAACCTTTTAAGCGCATATTTGAATCTTGTCCTGGAGGGTGATGACTGAAAAGACGATTGTTTTGCTATGGCCTTTTGGTGAAGAGAAACTTAATGCTTTTTCAAGTCTTCTTCCTAGTGAACAAGTAATCATACTGTAATAAACAGGGTGACAGTGGGGAATATGATTTCAGCTGAGAGAGTAAGAAATGAGGAAGTGCAGAGATTGAACTATTGTACATCCATAGTACGTACTCGTGACATGCTGTGCCTAGAGCATGTAAAATTCCTATTGTCCAAGAACTAATATTTTTAGTAGTGGAAAACACAAATCCTCAAGGTTAAGGTCTGGTCACAAAAGCATTTTAAGGCATGTATTTTTTTCATTCCATTTGCATTTGAGCAAACGCTTTGAATACATGTATAAATACCTTGCTGAGCAGGGAGGTGGTAAATTCATAACTAGTTAGATGTATGTACCATAACATGTACAGCTAGCCTTAAGAGTTACATTGAAAGAAGTTTGAATAATAATGCTTAATATTTGGTCTTTATTAAAAGAGAAACTAGGGCTGTATTAAGTGCTGTATGACCATATGACTGACTCTTAGATGACTGGAATTTGTTATTCTGTCTGCTATTGTTATGATATGTTATGAATTTAAGTTGGCATCATGCTATTCTAAATATATAAATTCTGCGCATTTGAAGCAAATAAATAAAAAGTCAAAAAAGTAGAGGAGATAGCACATTATTTATAAAAGTGGCTAATTTAAACTTTTCTAATTGTGGCAAACTGCATTTTTCCCCTTAAAACTGTTAGGTTGTGCTAGCAAATAATGTTTAGCATCAATAAATATCCTTAGGTAAAATTGTGTAGAGATCGTACAAGATAATATGCACATCCATATTTTTTCTTAAGTTTCCCTCACCAGAATGGGATACAGTGACTCCTGAAGCAAAAGACCTTATCAATAAAATGCTTACAATCAACCCAGCAAAACGTATCACAGCATCAGAAGCACTAAAGCATCCATGGATCTGTGTAAGTAATTTCCACAGATTTAACAGAATAATTTAGCAGACAAATCAGTTTATGGTATACTTCAGCATATAGTAAAGGTATTTAGAGGATAATTTTTGTCCTTACTCATGCAACTATGTAATTAAGGGAGTGTAAAATTGTAATTATACAGATGCAGTCAATAGTGTTGTATATTGAAGTCTCAGCCTGGGATAAATTTTTCAGAAACAAACTCTTTTGCCTTGACTTTGTTGTACAGAAGTTCGCTGCCAAAACTAGAGTATTATTTTAAGTTCTTAGAGAAGAAAATCTACAAGAAAGTAATTTTCAGTTAGAGAATGCTTTATATCTTCATTTCCCTATAACCATTATGATAAGCTTGAAATGTAAAGGCAAGAAATTAAGTGACTTTTAAAAAGTCAATTTGCAGGTAGCAGAGGCTGCCTGTCTGTTACTGGATCCAAGGCTACTTTTGAATTCTCAGTACATTCTACCCTTTGACTTTGCAGGTAGTCTGGGCTAGTACTTTGAAAGTCACGGAGAGGCATATAGCTGGTTCCCAACTCTTCATTCATCCCAATAGGCTGCATTATCTTGCCTTTAAAATTGTGATGCAAATTAAGTTGAGTTACAGGGGGAAATGCAGATACTGCTGAATTTTCTCTGTAATAGTTCCTGCTGCTGTACCTCATCTAATACCATTAATGCTAAAGAAAGGTTTCCCTCTTATTTTAAAACACATTTTCCAAAATCATAATTTAGAATATTACTTCAATTATGTGTATACTGCCTAACTGGGGTTCTGGGATTTGTGTTTTTGTTAGTCCTTGTTTCTTTCAAGAGGACTTTACACATGGGAAAGGCTGAGTAAAATGAGACCTTTGTTTTGTTGATTTGAAAATTTCACAAGTGTGTTGAAACCTCCACAAAGGGGTACTCAGGGTAGAAATTAAAGACTTCGGTTTTACACCATGTGGGTTGTAATATGTATGTTGTAAGTAAAATGCGGGACGTCTGACTGGTTGCGTTAAAATTATTCTTTTCTTATTCTTTTAGCAACGTTCTACTGTTGCCTCTATGATGCACAGACAAGAAACTGTAGATTGCTTGAAGAAATTCAATGCAAGAAGAAAACTAAAGGTAAGAATGAAAACTGCAAGGATGAGTAGCTAATTTTGGAAAGATCAAAGTCTGTTGGCTTGTGTTCCATGTGTAAAACAAATGGTCCCTAAGCAAATTTTTTTTCTCAAATATGATGCATAAATGAACTATTTGATAGATGATCAGTTTTTGAGCATGAGGATCTTAAACTTCTCATGAAAATGAACTGAAAATACCATAATCTTGTTGGATTCAAAAGAATAACAATCATCTTCATTTATACACAGAAAAAAAAATATTTCATGAAGGAAAACACTTAACGTTATTCTTTTAGATTATCGTTTGTTTTCTCCTGACCAGACAGGATAACTTTGCAGATGTGAACTTTTCTAATTAGCACATTACAAATAAACCCTTCCTACCTAAAAAAAGAATGTAAGCAAATGAATAAGGTCTATTTCATATTCGGCTATGTATTTTGCTAATGATTATGGTGCCTTTGAGTACTCATGGGTTTGTGCATTATGTACTCACAAATTGTAAATATTTGAGATTATCAGGATTACTGATAGGTGTGTAATTAAGATTAAATTACAGTTTATGCACTCATGGCACCACGTATGACAGGTAATGCACAGACAATCCGTTATTTCAGGGTCAATTTAGTAATTGATGTAAGTTATATGTGTGTTTTCCTTTATGTTATGTCGTGTTCACATTCAGAATTTTACACAAGTGTGATGCTAATTTGAGAAAATGTATGTGTACACAGGGGGCCATTTTGACAACTATGCTGGCTACCAGAAATTTCTCAGGTATGTTCATTGAGCTCCAGATTAATATGGTCTTTTTGTTTCAATGTCTGTGATAACTAAGATCTAATTAGGATTTACTAGTACAGAAAGATCTTTGTTATTCAGGAGCATCTAGATATGATATATCTTAAGTTGTTTCCTTCACGGAAGCAAACAAAAATTTAAACTATTTGGGTCAAATAGAATCCCTTGTAACTGACAGTCTTAACTTTTCAGTAGAATGTGGGTTCCTTCCCTTTACTCTTTTAGTGTTATCTGTCAAAAGAGAGAGTTTTCCTGTCTATTTTGGTGTAGGAAAATCGAAAATAATGCATATAGCTTCACATGCATAAGTATCTCCAAACAACATTTAAAAACTTACTTATCTTTATATACCTGAATTCTCATTCCAGAATTCTGTTGCATCTCATATTATTAAAAAAAAAAAAAAAAAAGGCAAAACCAAACCAAAAAACATGTTCCTTCTTTATTGCTTTGCTAAGGAGTAGGAAATGTAGTAAAATGAGTCCTTCTTTTCCTTTTCTTCTAATGCCTAGCTTGACATAACGAGATGTTTCCTCTTTATGAAGTAATTTTGTAGTGATATCCCTGGAGAGTTAGATCTTTATACTAAACAAATATTAATAGCAAAAGCTAATAAGTTTGCTGTTAGTAGAGTTAGAATTGTCCTCAGGAGTAGCATTGCCAAAATTTTGATGCTGAATTTTTCATTTTGCCATTTGAGATTTGAAGTGTATAGTGAAAAAGAACACCAAATTTGAACAGTAACTTTACATATCCTCCTACTCTGTGATGTAACTATTGGAGTGTAACATAAATTAATTCATGGACAAAAACATGATGGTACTTTGGGCATGTTTTGAATTATGATAGCCACTGAATCATCCAAATAATTACATAATCATGAATGCAAGAACAACTTGTTCAATTTGCATAGCACTTGAAATACAATTTCTTAGTTCCTACATTTAATACACACCTATAATACAGAAGACTACATTTATGTAAATTACATTGGGTTAACGCTTAATGAATTGCCAGTATCTGCCAGTTCATTTTAAAGGTGAGAGTACTGTAGACTGCATATCATGTAAAAATTAATTATTATTAAATATCAAACAAATATATTCTTTCTCATCACTTTTCGTAACTGTTACTCTCTATATGTAAGGGTCAATTTCAACTTTGATGAAGCAAAAAAAAAGCTGAAGTAATTTTAAAATATTTTGCCATGGAAAGCAAACAGGGGTTTGGCTTTGTTTTGGATTTTTTTCACCTATCATCTCTGTTTTACACCATGATGAACCATGCTTTTCCTTGATGACGTTTTATTTTTTCAAGTTGTTTATTCATTGTATTTCATTGCAAAGCATGCTTTTGAAGGTCATTTGTCCATAGCAATGTGGTTATAAAAGTGTTTTATTTTCCTTTTTCTTTCTTCGTTTTATGTGGAATGTGTATTTCTTGTGAGGTAAGACCCTCAGCACGTGAAAGGAACATCTTTTTTTCTCTTCTAGATCAAAATTGCTGTTTGTCCTAAATCACTTTAATTTCTACATGTTGCCACAATGCCACTTTTCAGTCTGCTTTCCGGCATACTAGTGCTGCTTTGGGTTTTATTTATAGCCATTGCTTGTAGTTGCAAGAAGTCTTTCATTGTGGGCTTACTTTAGAATATGCTAATTGCTTTGCTACTGATGATTCTTTAAATATTTGATTTGTATGCAGTATCTCTGCTTAAAGAAAGATGTATGAAAATATTATTAAAAATACATTCCAAGCCAAAACCAACAAAGGCAGTTGAGTATAGACTATGTTATATAACATAAAATATTGCATAATATTCCATACTGGGCACATTTTGAAGGACATGCTAGCAATGTTATAAACACAACACTTGCAGTTATTGCCTTTGGTACCCTCATCTTACTGGCTTTCATTTAATTGTTTACATACAACGTGTAATGTCTGTTAAGCATTAAAATAATTCAGAAGTTTTATGCACAAATTTAGCAAAAGGACCTCGTTTGTTATGAACAGTAGCCTATAAGAATGCATTTATGTTTTCCCATATTTCTGTAAGGATTAAAAGAATAAACTTTTAGCCTTAGGTTTTAGAAATACCTCTTCCCCTTTGCTTTCCTGAAATTAATTGCTGAAGTTAATGGAGTGCCCACGATATTTGTGGTAGAGTAAAATCTAAGGGCATGTTGCATCAGGTCCTGTTGCAACACATTGCAACAGTATGTCTCCTATCTCAAAAATATATGTAAAGTGATTTATTTTCAATATTAATTTACATGTTCTGAAAATAAAAACATGCAATGGTCCTTTTGCATAATACAGGCAGATTTATTTTTCTTAATTTTAGTTGTAAATCATGTGCCTTGTGAGAGTTTTAATGGCAGTGTTGGCTGATGTCCATAATTAATAAACTGCATTTGGAGGGTTGATGTATTTGTGAAATTATAAACATTAACTTGGCTTCACTTTCCATTTTTTTAATGTAAACAACATAATAATGGACATCCGTTATTTCTGTACAGGTTCTGGTGTGATGTTACGTGTTCTGTACTCTGAACCAGAGCTAAATGAGCACTTAATGCAGATGTAGCCAGAGAATAAGCCACAAATACAAAAAAATAACCTCAGGTTTAAACCAGATACTCATTAACTCCAATATCCTCAGGTAGTCTGAGCAACCTTAGGCTTGCAAGGTCCAATTGTTTTTGTTTTAAAGAGAAGGATGCCAGCAATGATAGGAGCTCCATGTCAGGACTGTCTCCCTTCAATGATGCTGGATTGTTAGCTGCAGCATTTCCCTTTCAGAAGGCTTCCTGCTTATAAGCAAAACTGTGTGTGTGGAAAAGCACTTTCGTACAGCCTAATCCATGATACACTTTCTAGTAGGAAGATTGGGTTATAAACAGCAAAATTTAAAAGCGCCCAGCTTGTTTTGTGATTTATTATTCTTCAAGTCTTTGGCAGTGAGTCGTGAAGCACCTACACTTCAGTGGTGGATAGTTTCTTTGAATTTGGTGTGTCACCCAGCGTGTATTTCTGCTGTAAATGTTTGTGGGTCCCGAGCTGCAGTGTGCTTGTTTGCACATTAGCCCTCCAAATGTAGTAGTTTGGAATGATTTAGCCTCATTTTTGGTGGAAGTTTTAAGTGGCGGAATTTAAAGCCTCACATACAGATAAGGTCATGACAAGTGAAATTTAGCCCAGCAGTCCCCACTACTTTGAAGATATTTGATCAATGTGCAAGTTAATTCAGCAAATAACAGGTTTTCTTCATTAGGAGTAGAACAAAGCCTACTATTTGTTATTATTAACTCCTAGGCAGCACTCCTCCAAAGCAACACTTCATGTGCAGGTTGTTCTTGCTTTCTTATTTGCAACTTTCCTGACCTCTCATGCACGGTGACTGATGCAGTCATGGTGGGAAATCTCTAAGGAACCATTGCTCAGAGGCATCTGTTTGAAACGCAGTTTACTTTTCAGTAGGTGGAATAGATAGCATTGTACCTCACTGTGCCCTGTAGATACCCAATTGATCTGATATCGGTTACTTTTATATCAATGTCATGTTAATAACATCGTTAAAATACCAGTGGGCTCTACAAACACCTCATCAAAGTTCCTGCCATCAGAACAGTATTTTTTCATAGTAGTATCAAACTGTCCCCATCAACTATTGTAAACTCATTGCAGTTGAGAAAATGGGCATATCCAAAGGCTCCTGCTTTCACACTCACCCTTCTTCTGTTTGCTGTCTGCCACCCAAGGAGGTCTCTCCTTGTATAAGTACAGTTAACTTACAGCTTTAATCCATGGAAAAAGAGAGGTATGATAATCTTAAGAAGTGTAGTTTCCTATACTCAAAGCAACAAAAGGAGGAAATAAAAGCCAAAAACTTACCTGCGGCTGGGAGGCAATGGGGGTTTGCTTTGCAGCTGGTTGACCTCAGTGGTAACCACCTGACATTGAAATTATTTGTCTCATTTTACAGCAGCCAAGAGTTTACTGAAAAAGCCGGATGGAGTTAAGGTAGGTTAAAAATGTGCTTTAAAATATATGATACTAGTCACCACCTATCTGTAACTTCTGCCAGTTTTTAGAATTTATTATTGTTACTTGTTTTCTTTATAGAATTTGTTAATAAGAGCTTCTTACTGTATATTTGAAGTGATTAAAGTTAGTAGGTGAAGCTTAAAAAATTGAATAAAATAAATATTTGAAAAACAGACATTTTAATAAGTGGAAGATAGAAAACTACTGGAGAAAAAGCTTTTCTTTCTATTTTAATGAAGGATGATTGTGTAATTAATGGCTCTGTTATTTAGTAGCTATGAATATAAATGATGTTTTGGTGGTGGGCATGTTAGCTTTTTAGGTATCAGTGTTTATTTTCAGCTCTGTTGCCTCCGTGTTTTACCTTGACTTTTCATTAGATTTCATGAAAGACCAAAAGTTTACTGGTAGGCTTGGCTCCACATGAGGTGTATTCTGCCAGATGTACTTACTATATCTGGCAGAACTTGGAGTTTACTATCTCAACAAATCAGCTCATCCTGGGTAATAGAGCTTACTAAGAAGGGAACATTTTGGCAGCTTTCATACATGATTTAGAGCTCCTATTCTCATGTCACCAGATCCTGCAGGAGGAGAGATGCTTCACAAATGAACATTCTGGATAAATACTTTGAAAAACAGCCATAAAAAAATATATCACTCAGCAATGAAAAATATTTTATTTCTTTTCTCAGAGGACTCCTGGAGACTTAAATAAGTGCCTCATGCTTTCATTATATGATTCAAAAGATATTTTTCTATACTCTGTGTGTTTACTCAGTAGTGTGTCTTTGACCTGAATTTTAATTTTCTATTTAATCTTAACTTTCTACTTTAAAAAAAATGTATTCTTAAATACCAGATTCGTAGTATATTTGCCCCTGTTCTCACACATATGCACTTTTCCTACCAAAAAAAATCATGAGACTACTTAAAATGAAGTGAGTACACTATGATTTCAGTGCTTCTCGCCGACAAGTAGTAGACATCATAGTTATATGGAGAAGCACACATTCAGTGCTGTTATGTCATTTCTGTGAAAAATCCTTAACATATTTCATTGTGGAATATACAAATTTTATGTACTCTAGCTGACCAGCTTTTCCTTTTTAAATATCATTCCTCCTACAGGTCTACGATGGTATTTGTTATATCTCAGTTTTCGTTATAATATTGGAAACAATCGTTGCCAAAATTTTGCCTAAATTGTTGGGATTTGATGTTTTTGTGGTTTTCAGCACATTTTATGTGCCTACTGTTTGTCTGCGTGGTCATGTGGAGCAAAGGGAGTAAATTTACATCTGGGAAAGTCTTATTTTTGTCATTTCTGTTATTGAGTTACTATATACTCCATAACATTTTCCCACCACTTTCTACAGCTTAAGCTAACTTTTTCTTTTAAAAAAAAAAAAAAGCCAAAACAGAAATATACTATACTCCGTGCGTTGATACTTCAAATCCAACCAGTCACATTTTCTTCTTTTCCTTTCTCTCTGACTGGTCAATTCAGAAAAGGAAGTCCAGTTCGAGTGTTCAGATGATGGTGAGGATCTTTATCGACAGATTTTTCCTCCTGTGAAACGTTCACACTTAGAAATCAAACAGTTGCATTTAGTTTTGTTAACGTACTGTGAGAAGCTGCAAGACTTTAAAGCACAACCTTGTGAATTTTAAGCCTGCAGTTGCTGTATGCCATCCACAGTGAATTGTTCTGCAGTTCTTTCAAACAAGTTATTTATTTTTTTAACCAGGGGACATACAAAAACAAAAAAGTAGATGTAACATTGGCCAATGCAGCTGTCCTTAGTAAATAAAAATAGTAACAAAAGAGTAATCTTATAACAGCCTTCTATTAATTTTTAAAACCTCCTTACATTAAAAGCTAATAGTATTAATATCATAAAATGTAACACAAATCACATTTCTCTGCACAGTGAAATAGTGTCACTTTAGTTCAGCCACTGTACACCAAGATGCTATGCTAAATGCTCAAGGGTGAAGAAAAAAAAAACCAAACCAAAAACCACAACAATTTCACAGCCTTTGCATACTACAGTTTCCCAGCTAACTTCCTTCACAGCTCAGAGCTTTGTCACAAGATGTCCCAACTGACAGTCAGTCTCAATAACTTTTTTTTTTCCTCAACCTACTCTACAATCTTGTCTTAATTTGGCCTCTGTGATCCCACACAGGAACTTATTATATTCCTGTGTATTATGGTTTTGAATCTGACTTTGGAGATGTTTGTGATCATCAGCCAGCTTCTGTCGCTGCTCCCGGTGGAGAGAAGGCAAATACCCCACATCCACCTTTCACTGGGAAGTACAACTCTCCTTGAAAAGCAAAAATTGCTGGTGAAGTCTGAGCAGACTTGTATTGGTAAATAGTCTGTTCTTTGGGTGAACACAGAATTCCAGTAACAGGGCATTAGTGGTAACAGCCTCCAAATGAGGGTTATCGGAAAGGTATGGTGGGGATATTTCTAGTATCCCAAATATGAAGTGTGCTTTAACTTTCTTTTTACCGAAGTACCATGTGAAAGATTAAGTCCCAAAATGAAGGTTTTGTTTCTTAAAATATTTTTATGTTGAAAAAACACTGGTCATGATTCTGCAGTCATGCCCAGCAGCTTGGGGCATTTGTGTGTGTGTTTGTCCTGCACTACTGTCCGACCTCAAAATGTGGCTTTTGACAAGCAATCTGTTAGTGTAAAAGTTTTCCTTCTTTGCAACAAATAGAAGGCCACCACTTAAGCATAATTTGATTTTTAGAATAACTGTTTCATATGAAAAATATTACTTCTTTTCTAATAATTTCCCTTTGCTGTTAAAAATAGATGCAAAATGCACAATGTGTGTTCATATATTAATAAAAGCACATGTATGTGTTCTGTGAGAGAGGGAAGGGATACAGGCTTATTGCTGTTGTCTCTCTAAATTTCAAAGGATTTTACCAAGTTCTGTTTACACAGAAGAAATAACTATATTTTGAGTTAACATTAACATTATATTTCTGCTTTTACTAATGAATGCTGTATTCTTGATATTTTACTAAGAAGTTTTGAATATATTTCTTGCAGTTTTCAGCAGTAGCTGTAACAGATATTGTTTATTTTTATAGGACTTTCACCAAGGGAGTATGGACCCAAGCCTGCTCTCCTTACTCAGGCAAAATTGGAATTGAAATTTGATTAACCTGTTTTCATTATGTATTTGACAACAAGCATTCATTTGGCTTATCACTTTTTTTTTGTACTAAGCTACTACTGAATAGGACTGTATTCAGCAACAGGCATTGATTTGGCGTATCACTTTTTTTTGTATTAAGCTGTTACTGAATAGGACTGTGTGAAATATGATGAAATCTTAATTTCTTTCCTCATGTTTTTGCTTTATGTGTATCTGCCTTTTGTGAGGAGTCTCGTCATAAAAACACAAACTTCTAGTTACACAACTTGATACGAGATTTTCTCTTGTTTTAGAAGATTTAGTATGGTCTCAAGCAGTGTTGTATGTGTTCTCACTATTCCACAGTTCTCATTTAGTGCTTCCATTTATGGAAGTGGTTGTCATTTTTTAAAAATTTTTTTCCTGAGTAAGGAGTTCAGGTTTTGCCCAGCTCACAGTCCCATAAATAATCTAAGAAAGTTAGTACTTATACTTGCTACTACTTTTGTCTCCCATGAATGACATTATGCACAAAGGTATTTATTCGCTCCTTGTCTTGAGTTCAGACACTCATGCAAGCTTACAGTTGTAATCCTGAATAGATTAATGAAATTTATCTGGCAATAACTAGGTCAAGTTGGAGCATAAACTAAACTCTTGGAACTTAATAATTACTCATATTTTCTCTTAATGTCACTATCTGTAGAAGGACTGTTGTTAGAAAAATAAATGTTTCTCATCCTCCTGCTGTGGAGCACTGTGAATTTCGATTTTGAATCAAAGAAAATTATTTTTATTCTACATGGTAGAATGGGTCCTGTCACAAATTTTACTAAATAACATTTAGTGGCAAAATAACGTTCCCTTGACATTAACTAATGAGACTCATTTATAGTCTTCAAAGTCCGGTAAATGCTGGTTAAGATAAGGAAATTTTCAGTCTATAATTAATTAATGCAAATCCTGTTGACATTTCCATAATCTAGACACATTGTAGGTAAGACTTCAGTTCAGCTGCTGGCTTGTGCAATCAACAAGTCTACCGCCACACCTGTACCAAAGTAAAAGTAGTGATCAAAACTGCTGAGGACATTTAAGTTCAGTGAATTTCACTAATGGTGCTAACTTCTGAATGCTTTAATTTAGCAAAGCCTTGACACAGACAAAACTTAAATGTTAGCCTGCATGGCTGAGAAGCTGAGTATTTAATCTGAGACTACTGAGTCATTGGGAAGTTTAAATCAGAAGCCAGATGTTTCATACACATCTCAGTTTGGTCCACTATTCTAGGAATCTTTCTTTATGCCTTTTCTTATATGTTACTTAGGATATCGTAATTTTTGTATTGGTTTAGAAAGGCTTTTCTTTTAGAAGAAAAAATACCAAATATTGACCCAAAAATTGCTAGAGCTTCTTTCTTTAAATGAGGAATTTAATTGCATTTTTACAGAAATCCATTAAGGAAACAATTTGGGACTTTTTTCCTTGGTTTTGCACATTTATTAGAAGGTTCAGTAGAACTTTTTTTTTTTATTGAAGTCTTTCCAGGCAATATATATCTATATGCCCAGTTCTGCATGCTGCTTTGGATTGCTCTTGTTAAAATTAGACATGACAAAAATGTACGTAAATTTTTTCCTAATTATTGTTAAAGAAAAAATTATATCTTTCAAATGAGTTTTACTATACTGTAATCTTGCTGCTTAGTGCATGTAAAAAAGTGGCTCAGTACATTATTTTTAGCATTTCTGTTCTTTTCATGCCATGGTATTTATGAAATCTGAATCTTAAAAATGGATTTAAAGAATCAAATGCCTTTAAACATATTGCTAAACAGTTTACTTGACTTAAAAATTGTGTAAGAAGAAGCCAAAAGTCTTATAAAGGTGTAGTACTATGCTAGGCTTAAGAATTAACATGATGACCTACTTGTAAAGCTAAACAGATATGGACTGATTTGCAGAGTAAGACTGCAGATACTATAGTGGGACACCTTACACTCTCAGGTTATAGTACCGAAATTGAAAGGGTGATACACACTGCAGGATTCCTGAGGCTGCAGAAAATCACAGCTGTCAATTATTTTTGTCTGAAATAGCACTATAAAAAGGTGAAGGCGCACCAGGCTCTAGCATCAAGTTGTGTTTATTCAGATCTGGAATCAGTTATATTTATTCAAATCTGTTCCCAGAAGCCAGTAGAACAAATCTATAGATTTCTGGAGAGCTGTGAATAATCACACATTATCTATGGTAGTGACAGGTAATTAGAAATAAAACTGAGTGCAATTATTTAATACTGTTGCATGGAAAGAAATCACAGTGGCCATTTAGGACTTTCTTCAAACCGATATTTATTCTTTATTCTTCTCATATATGTTTAGCTGCTACTTAAAGGCTCTCTGATCTTTTAAGTGTCACAGCTGAAATCATCTATACCTTATATAGACCTTCGTATAGTGCATCTGAAAACCCGTAACCAGCCTGTTTGGAGGAGTTGCAGCTAGCTATCAGATCTATTGTTAGTGTTCTTTCAAGTTCATAAGTTCATCTTTCTGTGATTCTTTATTTCCATATCTATATCTATATATAGATATCTATATCTGTATATAGATGTTCTATACAGAGAGATATAGATACGGTGCCTGCCGCAAATTCTAAGGCCTGTCTGTTTCTATTTTCTGCATACCTACAGATAAACAACAAAACGAACGTGGTAACCAGCCCCAAGGAAAATATTCCTACCCCGGCGCTGGTATACCTGGAATCTTCCTTCTCATGCTATCTTGAAGTTTTTGACTGTCTTCTGTTCGTTCTTCCTTCTTTTTTTGCTTTTTCATGCATTTACTCTGTTTGCTTTCTAAAAACAGGTTTTGGAAAAACTTTTTGTTTGAATTATGCTTTCTTTTTATTGTGAGGAAGTCCATTAGCGCGTGTTTATTAATAGAAAATGTCACATGGAAGCTGGATGCGGTAGACTCATGGCATTTTTAACTGTAGTTGAAGTTCTTGCATGCTGTGCCAGAAAGTGAGTAGAATGCGCTTTATGTTGCTCTTAGCTCTTTGCCTGATGACTGTTTCCATCTTTTTAATGCTAACCTTTTGTAGAAAAACAAAACAAAACAAAAAAAACCCGAACAAACCACGAACCAAAAACACACAAAAATCCCCCAAAACTCTATTATTTTCTCTGCTTTTGTCTTAGTAAAAAGTATCGATATCAACGAGAGCTAACAGGATTATTGCTGGGCAACCATAAAATAGACCTTATTCAGATTTTCATTCCATAGTTCCTAAAACTCAGCAGGACTTTGCAAGTCTTCACTGGGATCAAGAGGCATCTACTGCTAAACATTTTTGCTTATTTCTCTTACATTAAATCTGCAGGAAACATTACTCATTAATAAGCTCTGTTAGGAACATATTACTAATCGGTGTGCTGTTCATGAATGTTTCTATTGCAGTCTTGCTTTTATTAGTAGCTCAAATTTCTTAGGCATAGATGGATCACAGGGCTAACAAATATAGATGCCAGTGCATAAATACCTAACTTTGTGAGATATTGTTTCTGTATGCCCACAAATATAGCTTTGAAAATGTGGATAATTCACACATGTTGGGAGAAACTTTAACTCTTGAATTTTTTTGTGCAACTGGCTCTGAAGCATACGGTGCTAAGTATTTCTAAGGACCAGTTAACAAGTTTCATGCGTGAATATATGGCAGTCTGTTCCTAGACATAGCCGTGCACAATAGTCAATCAATGCTGAAAATATGCTGGCTAACTGCCATTTCAAAGATATTTAATCTTTTTTTTAAGGGAAAAGGATTTGGGGAAATTGCATTTTAAAATTATGCCAAGATCTCTCTCGCTTACTTTCTGCTGCTCTGTCAGGGCAGCAATTGTTAGTTAACCTATGTCTTCCAAAATACGGTAGTGTTTAGAGATAGTTTACTCGTCCTAAATCCTTACCAATTCATCTGTATTTGTATTTGATCACTTCATACTAATACAAGCAAACATGTAAAGAAAAGAGGGCATTTCTGGCCTTCTTGTGTGGCCTACCTCCAACAGCAAAACGAGCAAAGCATTTACTATGACTGTGCAAACGAGAGCCTCTGCAGGTCTCCAGAGCTTCAAAGCCCTGTTCACATTGGTCTCTGCATGAATAAGGTCTCTGCATGCTGCTGCATTGGGTGAGATGGTCTTTCTTGCTGGCTTGCTGCTGAGGAAATCTCTGTTGGAGACATCCAGTTTCACCCTCTGGCAACAGTTAATATTTGTTTTAGCTCTTGTCAGTGTTCAGCGTTTGTGAGCTGACTCTTCTTGCGCTTCCTCACACTAACGACAATGTATTTACCAATGGGAACTCTTTTTCTCTTTATTTTGTTCTCGCTCAGGAGCCCCAAACTACAGTAATCCACAACCCTGATGGAAATAAGGTATTCAGAAAGAATCAACTCCATCTTGCATTTCCACACCACACATTTCATCCCCTATACCACAGCAAAATAGGGCCATTCCAGGAATTTATCAAGGAAAATCTCATTCCTGCATTTGTTACACCTGGTGTCTCTTGAGCCTGTTTTCATCTGTGTTTATCTGCTATGTGCGTCCTGCTGATTGCTTTTGGGGGAGCCGGTAGCAGTTGCCAGCGTTCAGTACCCTGTGCAGCCGGGCTTGGGGAGTGTGCTGTGTCTCTCGTTCCAGTCAAAAAAAGCTGCAGTCTAAGTAAAATCAAAGAATGTTGTTCTCAGAGTGTGGTGAGATTATACTGATGAGTTTTGTGTGCAGTTGTCACCATAGGTAAAGATGTCGTTTCGGTTTATCCCATCTGCTGTTTCTTAGCATGCTTATATACCATGTTCTGACGTGTCTTTTGCACAGGACTTTGTTCTTTTTTCCATAACATCACTAAGCTGTTTCAAAAAAAAAAAAACATTTTAAGGGACAAAGAGGTCTTTTAAGTTTTATACATTTTTTTCACGCTCTTTTCTTTTTCTTATGTATTGTGATGTTTGCATTTGGCAGCTGATTCCTAAAACGTGTTTTATTTTGTTTTTTTCATGCATGGACTTGAAAAGGGCCAGGAAATATCATCATTTTCATAAAATGCATGTTCCTAGGTTTCCTTGAAAGAATTTACTCTTCAACAAAAATTTCACTGTTTACAGCATTGACTTAAAGACCTGACATTTCATTTGTCGAGTCTCAACAACTACTTGTTATTTTGTATGAGAAGGATTGAATCTGAGTGAAAAATAACGCATGCAGACATTTTGCAAGCATGATGGTGTCTATTGTGCTTGTATATTCCATTCCTTTACGTACCTTGCCTCTGTTGAACATAGAGCTTTTATTTTCATGTTACTACTTTTTCAGCTTTTCAAGTTTAAACTCATAGGCAACAAACAGCCTGTGTTTGAACGCTAGTCTAATCTTTATTACTGAAGTCCACTAAAGACCAGAAACCCCAGATAAAAATATTGGCGTGACTACATCTACTTGGCCTTATTATATAATCATAGCAATTAAGATACTCAATGTCCCAAAAGGTCACAGCAGACAAGCAAACCACTTGATGTGGAGAGTTACTCCTAAATTTGTAAGACTGATTGTTGTAGTATGGCAACTGGAGTGGATGCTTCAATGTTACAGGCTACATCTGCCATGTGAGCTTGTGCATGGTGTTTACAGCTTGTATTCATGTGGGGGTTTTGTTTACTTATAAATATTTTATCTAATATTTCAAGTGATAGAGCATGGTCTGTCTGTGTAGAGTGAAACATCTAACACCAGCCAGTTCAGGAAAAGCATGGTGACTTGTTCACTTTTGTTTGTGTGTGAATTAATTCCTGTAGTTGTATTTATGGATGCACATGTGTTTTGTTTTTTTTAAGGTCCAAATAATGCATTAACCATTTTGAACATTCCTTCAGCTCAGCCTTGTGAGGACATAGTAAATAAAGGGCACTGTCGAACTTACCTTTTATTATTGAATTGTAAAATCCTTTTGAGTCTTAAAAACAGTACCACTCCTCTCTTCTGTCTCTCAGACAAAAATTGACAAGTTAATCCTTTTTGCTATGGTCTGTAAATTAAAAAAAAAAAAAAAAAAAGTTGATTCTACTTTTCGAGAAAGTGTACAGATAAATCAAGTTTAAAAACCTTCTGGCTTTCTAAAAATGTGTACATATTGCATTTGACAGTGCCCTACTGAATTTGCCTGTAGTATTTCATGTTTCTGGTAATTCATGAAAGACTGAGGTACAGTATCCTTGCCTTTTTAACAGTGTGGTGGCTTAAGTATGAACTGTCTGATACGTGAGTCATTCCTCTACATGACTGGTTGCTTGAAGAATACTACTACAATGATATGTTAGTTTGTCAAATTAATTATCATATATTTATCAGTTCTCCATCTCCTTGAAGATTTTTTTAATCACAAAAATAGTATAAAAATGTCAGAATCTTATCCAATAGTCTTAAAATCACTGGGAGGCTTTGTTTTAATACACATTGCATAAGTCCTATGAGCAGAAAAACAGTTGTAGATTGCAGCATGGAGAAGTCTGCATATTTAAAAGTTGGAATGGAATGACTTATTTTGCACAGTCGGTTTGATCACTAAGCTTAAAATGGCAAGCTGTCCTACTTTGGCTGAGGTAATTCATATAACATTTCAGTGGACTTTGTGCAATTGGATGTTAAAGAATGAAAAAGTTTCCTTTACATTCCTGTGAAGTCAAAGCATTAGACAGCAGGAAATGTATTTATGTTCTCTTCTGTAGAGAATGGCAATGTTTGACATCAGTTTCGGGTGGAAATGTCTTAATCAGTGTGTGACCATTTGTTTGTGAATTACATCCCACCCTGCTTCAAGGCTTTGCATGATATCTGTAACTAACTGTAATTTTTGAAGACATGCAAATAAGGCTTGGGTTGTTTTATACATTCTACTTATGTTTACTTCTCAACAGGAATCAACAGAGAGTTCCAATACAACCATTGAAGATGAGGATGTGAAAGGTAGGACTTGAAGCTTGAAACATTTGGAGAAGAAATAACATGAGTTATGTGAATGTATTTCAATAGGTCATTAAGCACAAACTCTTAATAAAAAGAGAGAATACTCTTTTTCCTTGTTTAAGAGCAATTACACTTTTGCTCTTCAGTGTTACATCTGACATGTTTCAGACTTGCCTTTGAGTTTTCGTTTCCCAAAACACCATTTGCCATGATGTTTTGGAAGAATATAAAGTTCCTGCTTATTAACTAAGATACTAGTTCCAGTAATAATAGTAGTAGATTAAAAACGTTTAAGTCAGTGCTTTGTAACTCCTACTTAGTTTATGTACTTTTTGCTTTTTTTATGTCATCATTTTAATTTTTGTTCTGTTCAGATGCCAGTGTTTTTTCATGTTTCTCTCTTGTTCTGTCCGTACACTTATTTCCATCTTCTTTTATTCTTTAAAAAGCTAAAATCAATAATTTTTTAATGAAATCAGTTCTGTAACCTCACAGGTACTGTTTTTGTTTCTGTTTTTCCCTCTAAATATTGTACTGTGATGTTACTCATACTTACTTTAATAACATTTTGGTTTAAAACAGAGGTTTTTTTAAAAGGGTAATAGGTTTGTGTATCTCTGGTTCACAGAAAATATTGTTTTTCAACCTCAAAGAACAATGCTATACATACAGGTGGAACGCAAGGCAGAGATGATAGTAAAGAAAATGTGGAGAATGGAAAAGAGAATTCTCAGTGACCCTTTGTAATATGAGATCTACTTTATGTTGGAAGTAGTATAATGCCTAAGTCACTGTTACAAGTGTGTATTAGCAAAGCTGTGCCCTAAAATATAGACTTGAATCTGCTGAAGAGCTTCACTGGTCGCTGAAGAGCACAGGAGTGTTTTAGAATTTAGAAGAGATTTAAATACAAAGTAGAATTGTATCAGAAATATCTAGTGCTTAGTTTCTGGCTCAGAACAGGTGCTCTCCATGTTTGATAAAAATATCAGTATTGCAAGGGTAATGAATTGATAGTGTAAGAATGAAAGTATCTCCCGGTAGCGGCTGTCCAAGGAGCGCAATGTTGAAAATGCCAGTTTTATATTATGCTGCGCGTGAGATTCATTGGGCGTTACGCCATGGCAGCTTAGCTCAGGCGTGCACAGGAGAGCAGAGCAGGCCTGGTGCAGAGCCCAGCCTCTTGTTTCTGCTGCTACTCATTGTGCTGCTTTTGGAAAGGCTCAGGAGGAGCTCAGCTACCCGCAGTCTGCTGCACTGCAATAATTTTCTCTACTTTTGCATAAGTTGGTGTTGGTGTTCCCTCGGTGGAGAGAAGACTTTTCTATCCGCTGCTAGTAGCAATGCGGCTGTAAATTGTGACTAGATGAGCTGCAGTTAGCTGTTATTAAGTCACTGATGCTTGCACTTTGTTCTCAAAGTTTCAGTGAATCATTTCACCGCCACTTGAACAAAGTCTTGTGTGCGTTAACAGCCAGTACCCACTCGCTTTAAATAACAACCTAGTGATAGTGGCTTGAGTTAATGCAAAGTAATGGCTTGGAGAACAATTACAGGTATCTGCAGCCGATGCAGAGGAAAATGCAGTGTAATTTACCTTTATTCATAACACTTTGTATTTCTTTCTTCAAACCATTATGTGTAGTTTAGCAACTAACCTCATTAAATGAATAATTTAATTATAGGGCCTCTGCGCGGTGATATAACTTGATGTTACAATGGTAGGATTTTTATGTATAAAATTCTGTCTAAAGCTTAGCGCACAGAATTATATTTCAGGAAGACAATTATAAGAAAAACAACAATGAATATGTTTCACCTAATTTTTTTATATGATTCTGTAGTATCACAGTTAAGAGCAGATTGGAGGCCATGATGTACTTTATTCTCAAAACAGAGAAGAGGCTCTTGCAGTAATCACAGGTCTGAGAGACGAGATACGGGTGGTGTCCTTCTCTTTACTGTAGCTTAGTGACAGATGTGATGTGTAGCAGATAAAGTTTTCTGATATTTGTAGGTTACTGACCCATTGCTACATAGTAGTGATACAAAGGGCATAAAGTGGATAAGCCAGTAAGATGAGCTGGGGCTGTACTCCAGGAAGAGTGTTGCATTGTGTATTTTCTGGAGACTGCAGAAGGAGGAGCTGAAAGATGTTACCATGCAGAAGAGGAGGCAGAGTAGTGCAGGATTGCTCTTCATCTGCTTTGGTGGGAAGGTGGGATGCTTCCTCTCTACCGACAATGAGAGTTTGAACTGCTAATATCTGGGATGATCATGATGACCTCATACCCTGAGGCAGCTGTTTCAGCATCAGGTCTGTGGAGCAACACGTAACGGTACCACTACTCTGTTCAGCAGACACCAGGTGCACATTTTGTTCCAGTGTATAGGGATTTAATTTTCTGTTTATTTAAAAAACAAATATAATCTCCCTGCCGTTAATTGCTTGCAAGCTTGCTTGGTTTTCACTTTTTAGTATTCTTCTCACACTTCCAATTTTTCCACCAGAGGCTGCCTTTCAGCTTGTTTTATTATAAATTAAAGCTAACAGTACCATTAAGGTCTAATTTGTAGAATGATTCAGGGAATAGGCAGTCCTGCAACCCTGACAGCTATTATAAGCTCAAGCACCATGCTGTAGCAGGGCACTGAGGAAAGATATTTTCCCCCTACACCAGACTTGACTTCTGGATGTAGATTTTCTAGGACAACAGTGAGAAAGCTGTTCTCTTGTCAGGAACAACAGCTACTGGCTGCAGGTGGAGGTACGATACTGATAGGGATGAATGGCTGTCAGAGGTAGCAGAGAGAATTCTCTCTGATTACTGACTGTCTGGGTCCTTATGCGCATGCTCAAGCTCATGCTTGTCACCAAATTTGACACATCTAGACGGAATGTTCCCCACCTGAGATGGTAAAGGACCTTAAAAATCTTTTTGCTTTTCTTCGCAGCATGGAGTGCAGCATGGGGAGAGGTGCTCTCCTTCCTGCAAAGGAGAAGGGAAACAGGGATGCCACTCTGTAACTCAAGAGTAGTACTAGCATATGTTTTACAGTATTGCAGTATGACCCACACCTCCCAGAGAATGACTCTTGTTTACAAAGGTGTGCAGTCTATGCACTTTGTTCCTCCTTCTGTTATTCTAGCCTTGTGCATAGATTGCACAAACTGGTACGAAGTTCCTTCCTTTGTACAGACTACCAGTCCACACATATTTAAAACATTCAGCTCTACATCAAGTGATTTTCTTACTTTTTATTGATTTGACTTGTTAAAGTTGTGTGGTTTATGTGAGTCTGTGTGGCTGTGTATCTCCAGCACAGTTGTGCTTTTGTGTGCCCTGTGGGAGTGTGCCTGCATATGCATGTCTGTACAAAATACTAGAAATGTTATGATTCTTTAAGAAAGGTAGCAATTAAAAAAAAAAGAAGTCTTAAATCAGCTATCACAAATAAGTCTTTAGGAACATATTCTTATGTCTAATGTATCTGGGAATGTGTACAGTATTCTCTCATGAGGATCTCACCCTATTTTTCACTTTTGAAGGCAGATACTTTAACTTGAAGACAGTAAAATTGGGCTTACCTTTTATTTGTTATGTATTGAAAAATCTTAGTGTCCGTAACTTTGTCTTGTTTATGTATGCATTTATATCCTTCAGGACTGGGATATATTTCTTTTACTGGAAGCAATACTTGGCAAATGATAGTGAGCCTTAATAATTCAAGCAGTAAACTAATTCTAGATCTTGAGTCTGAAATTACTTGAAGCTGTAGTTCAGGTTCCTCGCTCACATAAATTTCTGACATGAACCATTGATCATGGGCTTATCTGCATGACAGTGATCCCCCCAAATACAAGGACAGGAGAGGACAGAAAGAACATACTGAAGAATAGGCCATAGGCAATGCCTTCTTCCAGGATTGCTTCAGGATTCTCTTTCCTGTAGTAATGAGACTGGAACTCTGGCAGCATCTCTTTGAGATGAGATTGATACGTTTTTTTGATTAATGCTATAGAATACAATCATTATTTTTGCCAGCAATGCACACAGACTTTTACAAAGCTGAGTTGTTAAATTTATCACTGTCAGGAGATCTAGATTTCTTATGGTATTTTTTTTGCCCCTGGAAATGAATTAATGAAAGCACTAGTAGGAATTCCTGATGGGAAAAATTGCTGAGCCGCAGGGCACTTACAGATTAGATAAATTCTGGCTAATCTGTGCTGCTTAATACATCTGTAAGGCATATGGCTTCGAAAACTTAACCATTCAGGAAGCATATATTATCATATAATTTTGCTAATTGATTTCATTTTATGCCTGTTGTTTTTTGTTTTATTTAACAGTAAAAAAGAAACCAATTTAAACTAATCTGTTTGGAACATTCTTTCCTGAAGAAAAACCTTTAAATTTCTAAGAACATTTTTTAAAAGCTCTTTCAGAACCCTGTATTATCTCAGCACTGGATGGAGGGATAAATCCGCGCTGGCATCTGAACAGAGTCATTTATGGCTACAACCTTTACAGCCATTCTTTGGCACCCACACTGCATCCCCAAAGTACATAATTAATGTTGTTTATATGCTCAAAGATTTTATAAGTTCTTGTTGCTTGTAATTAAATTATCGTTATTTTTCTTTTGGCCTTCTTTTTTTCTGCCTTCACATCTACTTGACCCTCATACAGCTCTCACGAAGGAGGGTGACATGGAGAGGTTATGTTCCACCCACCACTCCTCCTCTTCCATTGCTTCTTCATCTCACTGGTCACCACCCTTGCCGTGCCCCAGCGGCCGCTCCTGCTGCCAGTGCCTGCTGAGGACTCTGATCACACTCTACCTCTTCATCTTTGTTTGTTCATATGTTGTGTTTCTTTCCATCAATTCAGCGGGCAAGTCCCCGAAAAGTGCAAACTCAGAAAGTCATTCACTTGAGTCTGAACTCTCCCACTCCACTCCTTCCTCTGTACTGTGTAAGTTTAGAGACTCATCTG